ATGTAATTATTTTTAATTTGGGCCCGTATTTGTAATTATTTTCACTTTCCGGGCCCTTATTTGTAAATTCCCCTAAATTTTAACCTGACAAACATTAATTTGACACACAACATATGTATAATTATACCTCTTTAACGATCTATAAGTAACATAATGACAATTATTCCTCAACAATTAAAGTTAGCCCTGAGGTTTAGAGCTAAATAAAATAGAGTATCGGGAAACAATTGTCAATAATAATAACGTTAACGAACTATTTGTAGAACGTATAATACCTGGGATACATCATGTTTAAAAAACTTTTAATATGAAAAATTCCTTAGTATAGTACTGCGGGTATTCTACAAATTTTGCCTGTAGATTGAATTATACCGGAGTATCATGATCCACACTATACGGTAATTTTTGTGAGGACGTAAAGGTACATAGACAAAATTCTGAATTGGGTGCGATTTTTCCAATTGATTAAAAAGCACTATTCAAATTCATAATTTTGTTAATGTTAATTTAGCCAATGAAAATAAATTTATTTGCATTAAAATTTATAATTGGCCACTATTATATTCTAAAGATAGATAAAACATAGGTAATGCTGCGAAATAATAAAATTAAAGCATAGTTTCTGATATATCTTAACAATTTAAAAAAAATTTGAGCAATTTTATCAAATCAAATTACATTTGATGATGCTATACTATAATAAAAAAAATTATTGTAGCATTCTTTGATGAATTGCAGAAACTTGTTAATTAACTCATATTTCAGCTAGTCTAAATTGAAATAGAATACCTATTTATATTCAAAAAAAATATATAGCAAAAATTCAAAATTATTACTAAAATTTTATTAATGTGTTATTTGCATCATTAAAACCGTTTTTTAATAAAATGAACCATTATAAAGCTTGTGGAAATAATAAACCATTTTATTATTGTTATATAATTATTATGACCCATTTTTTCCTAAAGTAAAAATATATAAAACAAGTAGCAAGTATAAAAATTCCAACAATAACACTACATACAATAAATACATCAATTGTTTTGTAATTAGTCGATATATCAACATTATCAACATTATAATCAATAGATGTAGATGAAACCCATGAATAATTTCGAGTGTCAAGAATATATATATTTAAATTCGTATTATCTAAGCTGAAAGAACCATTTGCATAAAAAATACCTTAAAAAGTTAAAAAATAAATTAGTGAATTAAGATTATAATTTAACATCTAAATAAATAAATAATACAGTCAACCCTCATAAATATCAACTTGTTAATATCAACCTTTTATTCACCCTACTTTCTGTGCCAGGTTACAAATCGGATTTCAAGAATCAGGTACATATGATGTAACACGATCAGGAAATTTCAAAACCAACGTTCGTTTTGTCCAAAATCGCTTATTCTCAAGAATCTGTATAAAAAAAAACCACTTCTAGTGCTCTAACAAAAAGTTTTCCTTGAGTGATTTATGATATAACCACATAATCTTTAACTTCATTCTCATATACAACAGTGTAATTATTTGTTGTGTTATTTGGGTTAACGTGTTCTAAAAGAAATATGATATCTTTATTAGTGCCTCCTACACATGCACTTGTAAATGCTGAATTGGCGGGGATTGATGCATTTAAATAGAACCATTTTTGTTGTTTAGTGTCTAGTGACGAAAGATTTACATTAGATAGAAATTTTCTCTTGATTGCGCAATAACAGCGCTACCAATGAAATAGAGCTTATTTCCTACAAGAACAGAACTTTGCCTAAAACGCCCACGCGGAGTAAAACTTACTACTGTCGTAGTGATCGTTAACCACAAGAAAAGATATTTTGAGAAAATGTTCATTTCAATTAATATGTAAAATAATTTATTTGAATATTTCTGTTTTATTTCTGTGAATCTGCAATTTGCTGTGGTAAACCGAATAATTTCCGTATAAATTCCATAAATATAGAATATAAAACACGGATGACTTTTTTTATAGATTACATTGAATGCTATGTACGTAAGTACGTACATATTTGATTAATTTCTCTCGCAAGCCACGATTATTATTAAGCAATTAAGAAAATAAAGTTTGTGTAATAGCATAACATTTTATTCAAAAATACGTACGTACATACCTGATTATCAAATTAACTATATCGGATTTCCTACCTTAACTTTCTTTACCTATAATAGTAATGATTTAATGTTTTGCGTTTCATATTTGCATTTATTTTTAGTATGTACGTACCAGTGTTGGTCCATGACAAGGAGTTTACTTATTTGCGCGAGTAACAAACCAAAAAAGGAAATCGAATTTTGTAAATAAACTAAGTGCGTAAAGATAGAAGTTTAGGGTTAGGGCAGGGCCAATGATTTTCTGTGGTGATAAATTGTTAATTCCGTCCGTGACAAATTCAAAGTCTGCATAATTTTTGCGTGAACTCTGCGTTGTTCATTTATAAATTCTGTGTTAGTTATATAAAAATCTTGAATATTCTGCAATCAATTTGTCGTTTAGTCTTCGGAATATTTAGGATATTAAGCAAAAATTTTCACCCGACCACGCTCGTATTTCAGGTTTATTTATTTTCTACATCGGAACTATATTTTTAGAACCTTGTACCTATAAAAAAAACTAAATAATTTATAAATCCTTACTTTTTGCGGCAATTCCTTAATACATTCCGTGTTTACAACCTAATTCCGT